TAAGCCATGATTCAAATCTTTTTATTTATCATTGGCCTATCAAACAGCGTTATTATATTAATAATTGCAAATTCTATATGTATCTATTATTGAATTATTTACATAAATTAAAAAAATAATTCTTGTACTTTAATATTTTTTTCATAATAGTTCAAACCTACATACTAAAGCTAATGACAACTATTTTATTAAAAGTTTTCTTTGCCATGCTCGTCCATACATTCATTGAGTACAGGTCCAATTTGACCAACATAAACCTTTATAAAGCAAAAGTCCAATACCTACAAAATGTGTTAGAAATAAAAAATGTCTTCAGATAACACAAAACCAATTCAGTATCTTCCTTATGCGGTACAACAAAAGGTAAATTTAAACTGCAACATAAACATGGTTGTAAAGTTTCCGCTTCCTTTTTGTACTTTTTTGTGGTTTTTACTTTTTTGGGGTAAATTATTTGATGTTTTCATGTAAATGTTTCTATTACTCCATAATACCAAGTTAGCAAGGAATGTTCATACCCTGACAGGCAGACAGGAAAAAAACATACAAAACAAAACTGTGGTCTGATAAACTAATAACAGCTTAATAAACCAACAAACCCTTTTCCCCAATTTTTTCATGTTTTTTAATTTTACATTGGCAACAACTCACAATATCATTCGTATTGGCCAAATGGAAGGGATGGAATGTAACGGCGTCTTTTGTTCCTCGTTAACATGGCCATTTCGCCGGTAGGGTTATTTTTGTTCTGTACTGCTTTGTTATTCCGACTATTGTGGATATTTCACTTATCGTTAAAATATACAAGTTGCCATTTTGTTAACTCATTGTTATGGACTCTTGTGATTGCTGTAGAATCCTTAATTATTGTTTGTATTAAATTTCACAATTTGTTTATTTTAATGTACAAATACAAGGAAACCATCAATTTTATTATAAACTGAAATAATTAAATGAATGATTTGCAATTATATTTCAATTCCCAATTATTTCAATTAATAAATATGTATATATAAACTATGTAGATTTTTATTTTGTTTAATATTGAAGTAATTGGATTCACTGTTATGGATTTAATTTACAATAAATATGTTATCTCCATTTATATTATTTATAACAACCATATACAAAACATTATACATTACTTTATTCAAAAATAATCTAATTATTTATTACCTTGAGGATTTTACTTTTAATATAAATTATTTTGCATTTGTTAGAATTGCATATCTTTCATATAAACCAAATTTCAAAATAATAATCTAAAATACATAACATAATTTTTATACTTACAAGTATACAAGTAAAGTTAATATTAAAGGACTTCACCACAATAAGAACAGAATAACTAAAATTTTATTAACATAAAACTAGCAGATTATTAAACTTGGACTACTTTATGGCAGTATTGCGTTTTGCCAAGCGCCAAACTCAACTTTAAAAATTCTTCAAAGAGGGCAAAATATTGCCTTAAGAAAACTGGTTAACGCTCCATGGTACGTAAGAGGAGCGGATATCCACAGAGATCTGAGAGTCGATTCAGTCGAAAAATACATTAAAGATCGTGCTCTGAAACTGTTCAATATAATTGACAGTCACAATAATCCAATAATCCTCAGTATCCTAAAAATACAGCGAAATTTGATAAACACAAGCAGATACAAAGACATCAGATCCATCCTATTATAAAGCCCGTATTCAGTTATTCTTAGTGTGACTTAAAACTGTCCATAGATAAAATAAAGTAAAGGTGCTGATTCACCAACTCAGACATCTGAATATCAATATATATAAAACTAGCTATTTTTTAAACAGTATAATTTTATTGAAAAAACTATCCGTAGAATTATTTACAGTATCGTATTTTACTTTTAAATGTCTCAACAGTTCTAAATGTTGGCAAACATAATTAAAATTTTAGTTTTGTGGAGAGTTTCGCCAAAAAAAAACATCGTAGATTTTTTAAGCCGCCAGGAGCACGTCTTTCTTTAATTTTTCTTTCAATGACTAACTTAAGTGGACCGTATCTTTCTGGATGCCTTAAAGTATGACCGATTTAAGAGCAGTTTTCGCATGATGAGATCGGTTTTACTAAAAGAGTTCAAAATCTAGTCCATTATTATTAGTTTAATCACCTTGGCTCATAGTTTTCTTAAGAGATAGTCTGCGATGTAGTCGTATTGCATGAGTATAGTCACGTGAACAGATTGTGGAGTAATTATTATTATCTATACATTTCTTTTTAAGTACAATTTCATTACCAGTTATAACATTTAAGTTGCTAAACTACTTATATGTTTGTGTGACATCTCATTCATAAAAATTGTACATTTTTTCAGCATGCATTTTACTTTTTACCATCAGTAACTCCACAAACCAAAACAAATAAAAATATTAAATTAAGTATCTAAGAGGGAAAAAAAGAAAGGTCGTGGTAGTCAATATGGAGTTTACAGTGCCCATACTGCTATAAAAAAACCAACTTGTATATTTTCTAATATTAAATTTGAAAAATTCTAGTACTTCAAAGACAGTTCTTTTTCGACTGTTAAAATTTGCACTTAACAGGTTATTCCTTTTCACATACGTGTGCTTCTATAAAGTATCACTGTGTAAAATTTCAATTAAAAGTAAACCAATATTTTTTCATTTGATATATTTTGTCTTTAAAGACGATATATGATTTCATCGAATACCTTACTCAGTGTTCATTTTTAAGACGGAAATCATTGTTAACTTGCTTAAATAGATCAATGATTTCAAATACTTCTACCGACGGTAAGTCCATTTCTGAAGACAATGTAATCTTTAAACTCTATGTAGATTACCTTGGCATCTACGTAGATTCTACATTGATTAAGATATTATAGCAAAACAAACCAACTGAAATTATGAATCTAATAGTTTTGAAATTAGAGTGAGTTATTTAAAAATTATCTGAGAAAAATACTATAAAATATTTTATGAATCGACGGCCGGTTAAACAAAAGATATGTGAAAACATATATATGCATAAGTATATAACAGTGCCACTCGTCGTTATCGACGACTAAGTATCGTTCGACACCTATCAAAGGGACTTCGTAAGCAGGTCCCAGCGGGCTACAGCAACAACAACAACAGTGTAATAATAATATTTGATTATAAAGACAATTGTTTGTTATATTAATTAACTTTAATATAAATATTAGGTAGGTAGGTTGGAGTGGCGGCCTTGTTTACCAAAAAATCCCACTTGAGCACAAATAATGGCCCGTTGTGTCACCACATGGAAAAAAGCGATGTTCGAATATAGACAAGGTGATCAGTATACGACCAACGCCCAACAGAGCGGTAACGACTCCCCCATTAGATGAAGGAAAACCAACCCGACAGTTCTATGAATTTGGCCAGGTCCCTCGCATTGTAGGATGCCAGCTCAGTCAGATCGGTCAGAAAAGGGGTCCCCAAGATTTTTGATCTTCTTCTAGCTAAAGATGGGCACTAACACATGAGATGGAACACAGTTTCCTCCTCGTCCTCAGAGCCACAACCGCGACAAATAAGGAAGACCTAGTCTCATAGCATGCCTCCCTATTAAGCAGTGACCCGTCAGCAGCGATACCGTAGTACTGAACAGATCTCTCTTTAGTTGGAGCAGCTGACTCGTACGTTTTTTGTCCTAGTTAGACCAAATCAACCTAGAAATGTGACAACTGGGCTCACTTGCCCATTGTTGCTTGGCAATGCTTAGATATTTTTGTTTAATTGCCAGTTTAGCTGTTGCAAGTGGAACGCCAATTTCTAATAAGTGAATACCAGGGAGAAGAGCCCCAGTCTTGGCAAGCTCATCCGCCCTACAGTTATCCGCAATATCCCTATGACCAGGAACCCAGATAAGCTGGGTAATATTAATATTACCCTATCTCTGATTTCGAAACCTAGTAATTAACAACTATTAAATTTGCAAATTTATATATTTATACATACAATTATGTAGCTATAAATCTGATGTATAAAAAACTTTTCTCATTTCAATATATGAAAGCAAAATAAATAGAGTACTACTTCATAAACTCTTATTAAGTCCATAATTACTAAAACGTGAACACTAGAAAAGTCAAGTAGCGCACTAATAAACCACACGTGTCTGAACAAAAGAAAGGTACTGTATTGCTACAAAAAATAATCTGTTCTTCCAAAACAGTTTTAAAACATCTTGAAATTAGTTAATTTTATTTATTATCTTTTAAAGAAAAATGTAAACAAAATATAAAAGAAAAAACTTCCCTGCCAAGTCCTGAGGTGACTGTTTGTTGTGTGTTCATAAATAGCGCACGGGTGCACTTCACGTGTGCTTAAATAGAAAATATGATCACAAATAACAACATTACTTGGATAATTAGTTGCTAAAATGTTTATCATAAATAATAAGCACACATGTTAATATCAAGGATGTACGCGTTTGTATGCTTGTGAGTCTCGGGGTCTCAGCTAATAGAAGGTATCATTAAGGCGCTCATTGTCAGATTTTTTATTTTTATTTCCTTGTTTTTTCTTGTACTAAAGAACATGTAATTTCCAAAAATACTAAATTACAAAAAAGAAAAAAACAAAAAAAAAATTAGAATCACAAAAAACTTTTACGTAAGGGTTGCTTACTTAACATGAACCAACATACTCTTTCTTACGAGCAGCTCTAGAACATGCCTATACTGTATGCCTAATAAATAAAAATTATTACTTTTGTAATTATGCCAGAGCGCATATCGTACAGGAGTGGATGTGTGACCTATGAACGCTAACGTGTTCCTGAGTATGTGGGTTATGTGGGTTATGTGCGTTAATGTTCGAAACGCTAATGACAGCGATAATGTTTCTAATGGGATTTCTTCGAGTAGAAGTTTATGTAACAATGCTAATTAATTAAGTCTACTTAAACTTTTTATTAATATTTTATTTTATTTTCTTTGCTCCTTATTACCAAAACAAAATTAATTTAATAATTTTAATATTTTCAGGATTTCATTGAAGAGAAACATGAACCTGAAGTAACAGTGACACATCCAAAAGCGAAAGAATGGATTGTTGCAATGGCGAAAGCCAGCTACCAGGATTTAGCCAAATTAGCAAAGGAGTATCCGGAATTAGTAAAATTATCGGTAAGTTTAAGAAGTCATATACCTACTAAAAAAATATAAATTAGTTAATACTTGATTTATCTTATTACTATATGAATTGCTTAATTTGTCTTTGTATTTTGACTGCTGTTTTATATCCGAATATAGAGGATAAAAATTTTACTGAGAGTATATCATATTCGTATAATATTTAGCAGGTGAACACCTAAATGTACTTGAAATAATTTCTGATCAATATTTTTATTAACGAAACCTTAAGAATTGCTTAATGCAAATCGACAGTAATGCATATGAATTATTTTTATATCTGTTTGTATATGTACAAGATATGATCAAAAAGTAACGTGAATTTATATTTTTCAAGAAAATATTTATGTTTATCTGCTTTAATATGAACCACTGACACTGTAGTTTTCAGTTTGTACACTGTTGTACCCTTTTCTTAAAAGATTTCTTTATTTCTTATCTATTGTTTATTTCTAAATATTCTAGACCTATTCCAAATTCCAAAATTTCATATATTGGTAGAAATCGTTGTTTCAAATAATAAGCACAAATAAGTTGTAGGACTCCATTTCTTAAAATTACGGTAATGTCTTAGAACAGTATGTTATGTTTCGTCACGAAACCTTTTAATAGCAACAAATATTCAGAACAAATTCTTCTGACACTTGTTTTATATCCACATCCCGTATAATGTGTATATTAAACTAAACATAATTTTTTTTTAAAAAATAATTTGTTTAACACAAAAATAATGTATATGCGGTCATGTGGATTCCACGGCCAGTGGATCTATCGATACTGTGCATAAATCCATCAAAGATAAATCATTCTTAACTAAAATCACGGAAGAGAAAGTGGGCATTTAAGAAATATTAATTTATCAAATTTTAACGGTTTGCATGGATTTTATGTGGCTCAACTTGATTAACGATCAAAAGTTGCTTTCATGAATCGTCATATTTTTTACTAAAAATCGGAATTGAACCATCAAGCCTTTCTATTTTACGAACGCATAAAGCTTCCAAAAGGCTGGTACCGACATTCTTACAGACCATCACTTTATGTTCAATAACTCCACTTATATTCATATCATAAAATTTTAACAGTATAATATTAAAACACTTCCCTTAGCGACTAATGTATTTGCCTTAATCTTCTGCTTACTTTAGAATACAACCTCGAGTAATTACTAACTATTATTATATATTAATCGTGGCTATAACACAATAAAAACCGTGAGTCCTCAGTAGTGTTAACTAATTTAAATAGATTAAGTTCCTTTAAGGGAAATATCGCTTTAATAAATCAAATATTTTTCTAGATTAACATAAAGTGATTACTAAAAAAAATGTTAAGTCGGAGTAATCATTAATAATGTACAATAAATTCATTCAGGTTATTGTTGTTGTAGTGGCCCACTGAGATCTACTTGTAAAATCCCTTTTGTGAGTGGTGAACGGCATTTGGTCGTTGTGGTTGTGAAGTGGTTCCGGGAAAAAGACCCGACCATTTTTAAAATCGATTTATTAAGGTCATTGTGGTTTTTAGTCTCTAATAATCATTATTAACTATGAAAAGTTTTCAAATAAACAATTACAAAAATTTTATTTCTGCATAAGCATAATATTAATTCTTATTGAAAAAAATAAAATTTTAATTTTCAATAAATAAAAATTTCTGATGTTCTCAAGACATTTATTCACTGCCAATTCATTACCAAGATTATATATTGGCAGCTAACGCTTCTGTTAAAATATTGCTTTGGTTGATTTGGTTTTCATTAGCATTTCTGTCGTTATCATCATTATCAACATTAATTTCATCATCTATCATAAAGACCATTTCAACCAAAATCTTATATTATATATTCTCAACATTTCTTCTGCTAGATTTGAAAAGTTAAAGAAGTTATATACGGCTGATATTATATCAGAACTAATACCTTCTAAACTAATACATTACGAATACCTTCGTAATACATTCTACTCAAAAAGTATCCGTATTTTATTGTTTATTAACTACTCCTTAAGTAATAGACCTTTTAAAAAAATTTTCTTGACATATGGTACAAATTTGAGCGCCATCTGTCAATTAGTTTGTTTACAGCAGATGTTAATGTGAGACTACCTCAAGTACATTTAGCGATTTTTACTACCGAAAATTCTTATTGTACGCGATTTTTTGACCAAACACGGCACCACTGTCATCGCTAAGGCACCTTATTCGTTAGATCTGGATCCGTGCGACTTTTTCCTGTTCCCGAAACTCAAATTACCCTTTCGTGGTAAGCCTTTTGAGTCGATTGAATCGGTAAAAGAGAATTCGCCGAAGGAACTAAAACCCATACCTACACGGGCCTACAAAAAGTGTATGGAAGATTGGGTTAAGCGTTGGCATATGTGTATTGCTTCAGAAGGAGCAAATTTTGAAGGAGATAAAATAAATTTGGAATAAAATTTAAAATTGTGTTTTCTATTTACAAAATCCGGATACTTTTTGAGCTGGAGGTATGTTCAATAGGCTGTTTTTAGTATCAAAGTTTATTTTTAGAATTAAATAAAGGCTTCCAACTTTTCCAAATCGTTTAAGTCCTAATTTTACTGCAAGTTACTATCAGTTCCTATTAGTGTTAATTTATACAGCGATTCAATAGAGATTTAATTGTTATTGAATCAATATCTTGTTAAACTTATAGAATACTATTTGTAAATTCTGTCTGTAATTTACATACAACTATTAACAATGCATTAAAATTACTACAAAAATCATTTCAAAAGCAGTTGACATTTTTTTCGATCTAAAAAATATGTCTTCATTTTGACATCAAACTAATTTTTTTTAATTTACTTTACTGATCATGACATTCCACAAAAAAAAAAAAACAAGTAACGAAACTTGCAATTTATTGTATCTGACATAAATTTATTTCCTTGCATACTTGGAATCGCAAAAGTGTTTTTTAAATGCATTTCCGTTTCGTTGCAATTTCACTGATTCGTAGAATAATAAGCGCCGTTTCATAAATTTTACTGCAATTTATGGATAAAAAATTTCGGTTGTTTCTTGTGAAATATTTTTTTTCGTAGTGTGACTTCAGTTAATTTGGATTTTATTAATTGCACATTATGCCCATATAAATTGCAATCACTTCTTGAATATTACATTTTTCCTCGAATCCAGAACAGATTTGTAGCCTAATTAGCTAAGTTCCCAAAAAGTAAGAAAAAAAAACAAGCAAGAGAAACGACATAACGCTCACCCTCCAAACAATTTTTTTCTGACTAATAAATCATGCCGAAGTGAGGCTCCAAATTGGGTATTATGCCTAAAAAACATATGAATTATGTCTGCATTTATATGCCTAAAAAACCGAGTAATTGAGAGACTTAATCGCTCCTAGAGTCGGCATAGTGCCGCACCGCATCCCCTCCACTTTCAGTTTTATGTTATGACACAACTATTTTCATAAGATTTATAGCATTTTTAAGAAATATATTTGAATTTTGAAATGAGAAGGTGAATTTATGTAAAATTTAAAGTATTTCGCTATGGTACAGAAAGAACAGAAGTTATAAAAAATTGAAATAAATTTATTTAATGACTTTTATATATGCAATAAAATATTTATTTCTAATATATTAAATTTAGTGATGGCTATATAAATTCATTTCGTATTTGGTTATGTACTATAAATAAAATATAAGTGATTGTATATTTTAGTAACATCTTTTTTAAAAATATTTTAATGATGTATGGAATCAGTTATAAAATCATCATACATTGTGCATTTATATATACCTATATATGTCATAAATTGATTTTTAATATCCGTTTTAACAAAAGAAAGTAAATTTTATAAACTATTTTTTTTATTCCTCTCTATTATTGACAACTGTTTTGAAAAGTAGTCAATTACAACAATAAAATTTTATTATTTATTAATTAATTGAATGTGTGACTGACCATATATACATATTTATATGTACATATATATGTATATTATGTACTTGTGTATAAGTAAATATATGCAAACATAAGTTTGAACAAGAATTATTTATTTTATTTTACACTAAATCAAGTACAATTAAAACTCTTCTAATATGTTAGCATACTTAGGAAATTAGATATGATTGCATTTAAAAAGAAATTTTTTCTATCAATTAACAGAGCATTATTCATGTAAATAAGGTATATGATGTTTTTTTTTTAATATTTTATATATCTTTTGTAATATTATTTAAAAAAAATGTTGCCAAAAACATTTTATGTTTGTTGCTAAAAATCGAAGTCAGACACAATATTAGAATATAAAGGAACTACAATGCCAATATTGTTGTTATGGTTGAAACCCGTGTAGTTCTCTCATTGTTAGAAAAGTCTGCTTTGTTCCCATACTTCCAACGAAAATCGACAGCGCCTTTTTAAATATCTGAAGAGTCCTTTTAAAGCATCGATGCAGTCTGAAATGAAGAAAAAATATAACTTGAGGTGCTATAAGTTCAATTTTAAAGAACATAAGTAATTAATGCTTAATTAGAAGGTGACGGTGAATTGAATTGTACTGTAAAGTCTGTAGTTTAGTTATTGTTTTTATCATAAATTTTATTATTACTTTTTTATTGATACGAGATTGTCTTCGCAGGTCAGCGCTAAACAAATTAGATTCCATTTTTATTGGAACCTAAATGGTTATTAATTAATTACCTAGTTGTTTCTGTCATTGTCCAAACTTATTAAAATAAAAATAACTTATATAAGCAAGTTGTAAATGATTTGAAGCATCGTACGATCCAAAATAGAAACCTAATTGACTCTTAAATCAAATAGGAATCACTGATTCTTTTCACACTGATAACTATGCGATAAATAAATTTATAACTAACATATTCTATCATTTTCTGCCTAACTTTGATTTATGTTTTTGTCTTAATATTAATTCAGATATTTATTTATAAATATAAACTCATTTATACAATTATTTTATATACAATATGTTATAGATAGATATGTACTTAGTATATAGTATCAATATATATTATACTTTATATGATATA